ATAAAATACCAAGACCACAGTTCATTTGTGTATAATTTGCATAGAATAGATTACATTGTCTCCTGGTGTTTTCAGAGAGCAAAAATAACTGTATACTTGCCTTCTGTTTTCATAGTACTCTTGAGTTTTCATGTTTTCCAGAGACAGAAGTGTACTGGGATAAATCTCAGAAATTCTGGTGAACCAATTATTGAGAGAAATGCATTTTGTCCCACTGAACTGTTTGGTTCAAAGTGCTTTGTCCCATATTTTTATATTGGTTGTATAAAAGATGTGCCCTATGACCTTGGGACAGTTACACAAGTTGGGCTTGCCCTGAGCTGACCTGGTAGTGGGGCCAAAGGTTTAATTGTACCAAGTGCAGTGGACGGCCATAGGAATTGTGCTGTGACCTAGTTCTGTAATAGAAAAGGAAGGAGATTTTGAATTTGCTTGTATTTTTTCTTCTTCTTTTTAAAGACAGGGATGGGAAAATTCCTGTACAATGATAATGTGACTCAAAATTGCACAATCTCCTTTAAAAAAAATCTTTTGAGGAAATAGGCTTCCCTCTGTTCCTGAATTTGGACTAATAATTGCTTTAACCTAGGGCATGAGAACCAAGGAGGAAAAAAAAGAAAGAAGTGAAACAGATTAGGCAAATTATAAACTCTAGACCACAAACTTTGAATACCTTAAAGAATCTACTTCAGTATTCTGACAGTGCCATTTGTTAGAGTATGTAGAGATGGTTTCAAGTTGTATCATAGCTACAAGTTGATTTTAGAACATTGGTCCTGCTTGACACTGGCATTGTGGGTGTAGAGTCAGACACTGGCTTCAGATTCCCCCAGAGAAAGATGGAGTAAGTGTGGTACTGTTGAAACATCAGCTGCATTAATCAAATTCCCTACAGAATCAGATTGAAAATACATTTAGTGGGAGTAAATATTTTCCCTGAGTAGATCTTACCTATCTCAAATAAGAACAAGCTGGATAAAAATGATGCAGAGGTTGCTAGATAGTTTTGAAAGAACATGGAGTTTAACACACACACACACACACACACACACACACACACACATGCACGCGTGCAAGCTTATGGACTTTTATATGATGGACTCACACATATGCACGAGTGCACAAAAGAAGATGGACTTTTATATTATGGACTCAGAAAAGCCATGTGTAATGTATACAATTGACAATTTGGGGATAAGTTATACCATTGATATCATCGAGGCCATAAACATTCATCATCTCCTGAAGTTTCCTTCCTCTTCCTTTGTCATTATTATTTTTCTTCTTTTAAGAGTCTGGAGTTTGAATGGAGGAAGAGAAAATCACCAGGTAGTTTAGTGGTGCCATTTATTGGGACATAAAAGATTTTTTGGCAGGGGGAGGGGTGGCAGACAAGATCTACATTTTAAAACAAATTCTTTTGCCTTTCTTTCTTGACATTTAAATCATCAAAATGGATGAAAGTGGTAATTATGGGAACTCACTGCACATCTGGAAGGTGATATGGGATCCTTAGGGGCAGCTGTCCACCCCACCGTAAATTATTACCTGCTGAGCACTACGTGAGGAGTGGCTAAGGCACCGTCCTGGGGGCGTGAAATATTGGCTGTCTCTGGCCTGACTTGAGTTGAACAACTGTTGTCTTCCTCATGAGCAACAGGTATGTTTTTCAAATCCCCAAATTGTTGGGGGAGTTTTGAGGGATTTGGAATGGAATAGAAAATTACATTTTTGTAATAGTAAGTAGAAAAAAAGGCAGGAGATTGAAAACAACTGAAGAGGTGACTTCGAAGGTGTCCCCAGGACATCTGAGAGGAGAAAAAAGTAGCTTGAACATAGTTATATAAATAATTGATTGTAATATTTTCTGCTGGCTTCCACTGGCCCAAGAACACTCAGTTGTGACAGGTCACACAGTTCACAAGTGTGAGAAGCTGGTCATTTTTGAGAGAAGCCAGGATTCCAAATACAGTGTTGTAGTATAGACAGTACAACTAGACACCTCTGCATGACCAAGCCAGGGTTGATTTCCATTCAAGAGCAGTGAGCCGCAGGGAACACATGAGATATGACCCCGTTAGCAAGCTCAATTGCTTGGTAGCAAACATGTATGTTGTTTACCTAGGGTGAACTCAGAAGTTTCTGAATCACCTGCAGAGAGATCAAGACAACTCTGAAGAGCCCAGAGTCTTCCAGGGTCCAGGTTATCATGGGGACCTGGGATGTGATGCATGAAAATGTATTTTCAGGAACAGTTGTTATAAAAGAGAAGGGTATTTCTTTGTCATTTCTGGCACATGCTAAGAAAACAGGAGCTGTTCAGGTCTGGCACCCTGGCTCACACCTGTAATCCAAGCTACTCAGCAGGTAGACATTGGGAGGCTCATGGTTCTAGGCTAGCCCTGGGCAAAACTGCAAGACCCTATCTGAAAAGTAACTAAAGCAAAAAAAAAAAAAAGACTGCAGTTGTGGCTTAAATGGTATAGCCAAGCACTAGGCCCCGAGTTCAAATCCCAGTACCAGGGGAAAAAAAAGCCAACAACATATAAAAGATACTCATTGTAGTATCTACTGCAGTGAATATGGATGGCGAGGGCTGTTTCTTTGAAGTGTAAGAAACAAATTTCTGTAGGTTAATAGAAGGCCAATGCCCTGATGTCAAAAGTCAACCAGTTCCTCTCATCTGAACAACTGCCCAGGTACTTCCTGGGGCAGTGTGGATGCCCACCTTGACCTCCCAGGAGCTGGATGTGTGTCGGGGGGGAGAGATGAGGGGTCGGAGGTGGTGGGGCTGCAGTGGTGGGGTGAAGACCTGAGTTGTGCATCCTTCACTTCTGGAGGCTGGTGCCTGTTGCCATCTGGCTCCTGCAGGCCTCAGCTACCTTTCTTGATCTTGTTGGGAATAGAGACTAGAGGTGAAGGGGACCCATAACTAGGCTGGTACTTTTGGGGTTGATTTTACAGGGTGGCATAGAAGGCTCTCGGTGGAGGGAGACCTGGTCAGCTCTCTGCTTAGCAAGCTCCTGGCATCGAGGGCAGGTGGGGAAGGAGACAGGCACAGAAGCTGGAGGTCTATATTGGTGCTGGGCTTGTGCAGGTATGGTCGCTCTGAGACGAGTCAGGGCAGTCCTCAAGATCTTGATTTGACTAGCATGCTATATTTCAGGAACCCCATCTTAAGGTATTCTTGTCTGACTCCCTCTCTCCCCAGAGATTCTGTTTTCAGGCATTTTTCCTCCTCTAGGCCAGCAGAGAACTGCCTTGTGCAGGCCCACAGGGGTCTGCAGAAGATTCCTGTCTTGCCCACTGTTACTTCCCTACTGGAAACTTGGCAGTGGACTTCTGAAAGGGGAGGATGGGCTCTCACCTCATGTGTTGTGTCTCGCCTGCCTTCTCAGACAGACCGACTGCAGAGAGACAACGACTTTTGCCTGGACATGTTCAAATGTTCAAAGATGCTCTGCGCTGGGAACTTTGAAGCACTTTCCTTAAACACAGAACATGTGGGAAAGGAACAAAGCTTCTAGAAAATCATTTCTCTCGGTTTCTGTTTCTCTCTTCCCCCAGTTCCTAAAATCAGGGAATGCAGAAATGGGGTGAGGTGATCGCTTGCTCTGACCCAGGCTGCCTGACCAGGGCTGAGGTGTTAGCAGCAGAGAGGCTTTGGGAGAATTGGAATCCCCAGCCTCTCTTGCACCTAGGGCTGTTCACAGTGGTGGACGTGTTGCTGTGGATGAGGGTCAGTGGCCAGTCTGTCATGTGGAAAATGAGTACCACGTTTAGGTTGTTTAAAAGTTCCATTTTCCTTGATTGTCTTGGCAAAACCATGTTACTTGGCTGTCTTGGTAAAGTCATTTATTCCTACCAAAGGGAGGACAGGTTGAGAGATAGAGTGTCTTTCTGAATGGAGGACGTGATAGAAGAATGTATACCACACAAAGGCACAAGAGATTTCTGTCATCCTCTCTGTGTGTTCAGACATGCACTGAGGACAGCTCTGTGTCTGCCCTCAGGGAAAACTACAGTGCCAATACCATTTTGCCGAGGTGTTGGGGCTACATAAGGCTGCACACTTACTCAGTGCCTAGCAGTCTGTGCCTCACACACGCGCATGCTGCTTTATCAGTACCCACTGTGAGGTGGGGCTGTTACTACTCCAGTGTCACCATGAGGTTGAGAAATGAGCCTGAGGCCACTTAACCAGAGAGGCAGCAGAGCTGGGTGTAAACTCAGAGTAACAACCTGGGCAGTCACTTCCAGGAAGAGACAAGTGACATGTTTACTTATTTATTTAGGTGAACTTGTAACATGTGCTCTTGCCCTTGTATTTGGACTGATGAATGCATGATAAGTCTAATGAATAATATGAATATTAATGACTACAACAATGAATAATGAATATAAACACACTAACGACTAAGGTTTCAAGGGTCTTGGGGAAGGCAGGCATTATGCCCCAAATGCAGCGGTCAACATGGAGTTCAGACTTCTTGGGCTCCAATCAGAGTTTCTGGAGGAGGCCTGGCATCTGTCTCTAGAAGCTTCCTGGGAGACAAGAATTAGGCCACAATTAGGGATTGGGGATCCTGTTACGTGCCCTTGCTAAAAGCTCTTTCCTGGCACCTCCTCTCTTAGCCCCACACTCAGGCAAAGAGGTATGGGCTGGTGACCTTGACTTTGGCCCCAAGTTGCCCAGTGGGGAACCTATTCTTTGCTTGATAGATAGCCCTGGGATCTGGTGACAATCACTCATCTTCTCTGAGCTACCGTGTGCCCATTGGGACAGTGAGAAACAGGTCTCATCTCAGAGTGTGTCCTGAGAGTGAGATCTCACACATAAAACAGCCTGGCACATGTCCACCAGGTAGTAAATATCCACCATTATTCCTGGAGACGCTGTGTGGAGGTTGATCAGATGGCATGGGGTTTTTCCCAGGTAAACTGACCTGACCACCTTTGTTCTTTTCCTGTCTCTTGCTCCCCTCCCTCTTCCCTGTCAGGATGGTTCACTGGGAAACATTGACGACCTGGCGCAGCAGTACGCAGATTATTACAACACCTGCATCTCTGACGTGTGCGAGAGGATGGAGGAGCTGCGGAAGCGGCGTGTTTCCCAGGACCTGGATGTGGTGAGTGAGTGGCTCTGGGCATGTGCTGTGCTCTGCTGAGCGGGTGGTTTGCACTGGGGCTCCTGGTCGGCCAGCCTGTGGTCCTTCTGACAGTCCTAGCCAGTCCCAGAGCACCAGGCTGCAGGCTGCTGTCCTAGTGTACCATAAAAAAAATTAGATTCCCAAAGGACCAATGCTTTTTTTCTGCAGGTGTTAAGCTGAATGAGGGTGGGTTGGGGCAATAGGTAACCACATTTTGTCATCATTAAAAGGCTACATTTGCTATTTTTCTTTTTTAATTTTAAGGGGAAAAGATGTTTTTACTATTGACTGGTGTGCACTACACCTTTACCGACTCAAATACCAAAGGCAAGGTCTTTCCTTCTTTCTTCTGTTTTTTAAAAAATAAAATAAAATTTAAAAAAGCAAGAGATCACCCATAATATCTGACTACTAATGTGGGTGTCAGTGTTTTTCTGGACATTTTAAAATCTTCAGTACAGTCCTCCTGTGTATGTGTTAAAAAATCATTTCCTGCTTTTTTACTTAACACTTAATAAAGTATAATAACAGCTCTTCTTCCAGGCCAGTCACCATCTTGTGCTCGACTCTGTTCTCTTCTCTCACTGAGGGACAATTCATTTAGCTGCTCTGTAAAGACTTCTGTGATTGTAATTAGTGGCACATTTGGACTTGCATATGATAAATAGTAAGTAAATGATTTAAGAGTGCTCTGTAGTCCATATGCATCTTGGCAGTTCCATGTTGCACATTTGTTATAAAATGTAAAATACCTTACTGAAATGTCAGATTTATCAGTTTAAACTTGCACCTGTTGGATTCATTTTAGTTCCATGCTTTTTAGATCATCATATTTCATGTACTGGCATCAGGACCTCCGCTGGAGAGGAAGGCAGAAGAGGAGGCTCAGTCCCTGATCTGGGTAGCTCCTTATGAACCCGCTCATATTTTTTGGAGACAGGGTGTCACTTCATAGTCCAGACTGGCTTTGAACTCATGATCTTCCCACCTCAGCCTCTTGAATGCTGGGATTACAGGTGGATGCCATCATGCCCAGCCTTATTTATAGTTAATGACAATATACTTGCATCTTGGCCCCTGGGCTACATCCTCATCTCTCAATTCTTGAATGTGCCTGGAGTTGCATACTGTAGGGTCTCCCTGGACACTTCACTGTGCAAGGAAATGAAGGCTGAGAATTGGTAGACGATTGTTGACAGCACTGTTTTCAGAGTTCTGGCTGGTCTGAGGTTTGGGGTTACCATAATCTTCCCATAGCATTCAGGATCCTTGAAAGACAGCTTCTGGCAGGAAAGGAGGGTAAACAGCCTCCTTTCCATTTAGACAGATGGACCTAATTTGGTGTGCTCTGTTCCAGAGCAGCAAAAGATAGTCTGGGGAAAAAAACCAAAACCCACCACACAAGCTTAATTAATTCCCATCAAAGGTGTAAGAACTTGGTGGTGAGTAAAACTGATGGGCGCTAATTTAAGCCAGGCTGGACGTTCATGACTGTTGAGTCTTTAAATTGTACTTAGTGAGAAAAGTGAGGTCCCAAGTGACATTCAGATCCTTTTTCTATGAAATTCCAGGCGTGTTGTAGTGGGGAAGAGAGGAAATTTCAAACTGCTGACGATCGGGTTAGGTGCTGACTGTCTTCACATGTCGTTCATATGGCTCAGGAGTCTAGTTAGACGTGTTAGACGTGCATGTTAGACGTGTTTTAAGATTATCCCTTAGACTATGCTTGCAATGCTAGCATCTTACTCAGGGTTCCTTTCTCAGTGGCTAGCCAGCCCATCATGGATTGGAGTTTTGAGGGCAGCTCATTTTCTCAAAAGCTGAAACTTTCATCTGTGGCACTCCCTATTATTGCTTCTGAATTTTAAGTGTATTTCTAGGTTTATAATTCTTCAGACAAGTAGACAAATTGCCTCCATGTTTGCCTGGGGAATAGCTCCAGGTCTGAGGACTTGTGGCTTAATTCTTCTTTTTTTTCTATGTTCTTTTTCTTTCTTTCTGTGTTCTTATGCAGTCCAGGCAAAGCCAAATGCAAGAAGGCTTCCAGAAGGAATAATCCACCCGAAGCAAGAAGAGGACATCGTAGTATATTAGAAGCCTAAAACATTCTCTAGGAGGAATAGCAGTGTGATGTATATCCTGTGGTTGAGCAGGCCATTTAGAAGACGGTGCAGAGAGTTTAGGGTGATAAGTTGACTGGGTTTATGATTTTGCTTCATTCTAAATCCTCTGGGTGAATTTTGGGGCTTGAGGAAAGATTCTATAGATAGATATTTGTGTTTGGCTTTAAAAAGTCAAAAAACGCATTGTCCTTGGAGCTAATTACATGTCAACTGGAGAACACACAAACCAAAAAGACACTGTGCACACAGAGATGCTTGACTTAACCCTGAAGAATAAAAGGTTTGGATAATTATGTTAGTAATTAACTTTCTGGACTAGATGTCAAGCTATTTCTTGAGGACCTAATCGCCCAGATCCTGCCTGGAATAAAGCTTTTGCTCATGTGTCCTTGGAGCCACTTTTGATGAAGGCGACAGGGAGTAGAGATGAGTAGGAATTCAGCAGTACAAACAAAGATTCTGATTCAAATTTATAACAATGGGGAGAGTTTTTACTTAGCACCAATGGGCCCAAAAGGAATGATGTGTTTGGAAGGCAGCCTTGGCCTCTGCTGGGGATTGGGACATTAGTGCTGTGAGCAGCAAGAAGTTGCCCAGATTTCCCTACATTTGTCACTTCCCTGAGCACCATGTGATTTTTTTTTTTTTTTTGCATGGGAAAAGCTGCAATTAGAAATGACAGTAAATCTCCAAGTCCATAATGGGCCCATCTCTAGAGATGCTAAGTCTGACATCTGTCAAAGTGACACTCTGGCCAGGAAAGGGACATGCTCAAGGTGGCCTCTTATCACTGGCAGTATCAAGCTTCCTTGGCACCTTCGAGGTCAAGGCTGTTTGGATGTTGGCAGAAAACAAGTCTGTGTGGTTGTTGGTATTCACAGAGCTGATGGGGAAGTCCTCACCTGTGGCAGCACACTGTTGATGATGACGTATTTATCAGCAGCCAAAGCCTGGCCTGGACTTGGCTCCAAACCATTATCATGGTGGTGTGTGTACAAGGAAAAGGGAAGCCAGCCAGAGACTCACCCAGCTCTTTAGGGACCAGAAATGTAAATAAAGTTGTGTATTGTTATTACTGTAACAGTGAAATGGATATCAGAACATTGACCATGGTGTGGGAATGATACTGGGGTGTAATTATTATTCCCTGACTTTTAATAATTTAACTTTCCAAGTTAAATTTTAATAGAAATTTAATAGAAATTTTAATCTTTCCAGATATTGTAATCTTTCCAGATACAGTTCTGCATAAACACAGGCAGTAAGAGTAGTGTCTAGGCTGGGCATGGTGGTACATGCCTGTAATCCCAGCATTCCATAGAGGCTGAGGCAGGAGGATTGTCGCATTCGAGTCCATTCTGAGATATATGCCAAGAGATGAAAGGTGTCTATCCTGACTACTGGTTATTCTCTGAGCTCAAATGGGAGTTCTCACTCCTGGGCTTGTTGCATATGTAAAAATTGTGAGAAGGGGCAGGGGGAGTTGGATAAGGGTTCAAATTCTGTCTTTTCTGCCTACCTGGCATAACCTTATCAAGCCTCAATATTTTCATCTATGAAATGGAGAGGAAATCAGTATATCTCACAGTTATTATGAGAATTAAGTAAACACGCTGTTAATCTCATCTGTACCTTACAGCTGTGTGTGTTGTTTCTTTTTCTTCCTTCCTAGTTCAACATTTCCTGCAGTAATGCATATGAGTATCTCTTATTCATACTTCATTAATATCTATTCACATGAGTGCAGGATTTTCTTTCAGCTTTTTATTTTGAGAAGTTTTAAGCATATATAAACTACATAACAGTGAACTTCCTGTTTCTGACTCCCAACCTCCATAGTCACTGGTGTCCTGCCATTCCTGCTCCAACTTGACTCTATTCCCATTTTTCTTTAAGTTCTTCAATTCTGAGGTAAAACTGCCCAGATTTTAGCCTTACAATCTTATTGATGGTTTATGCATGTCACTTCCAGGCCAGCAGGACATGGAGCCTCTCTCAGTAAGTCCTGGTTGGAGGGCAGGGATTTTGTTTGGTCTGTCTTGGTCACTTCTGTTACTTGGTGGCACAAATTCAGGAAGTATTTGTCAAATTCGTTTATGTATATAATTCTTTAAAAATATTTAATGAGCATGGGATCTGTATTTGGGATTTTCCCCTTTCAGAAACAGATAAAAGATGAATTCCTTATCCACAAAGAGGTCCCAGTTTAGTGGGGCATGAAACAAGTCAACAGACTGCTGGCACGATATGTGAGAAGGCAGAAGAGGAAATCAATATATCTGTAGGAAATACATCTGGGTGTCCTGGAAGTGACACCCAGGCCCCCTGAGCACAGAAAACTTAGAAGGTTGACGTGGTTTGACAGGGAGTATGGACAGTCCTGAATAACTTGAGGCACAGGTCAGGGTTGTCTTTGGGGTCAAGATCAAAAGTTGAGGGAGAAAATGTGACTCTTACAGAGTATTGCAAGTTGACTATAGCTAGAAAGTAGGGTCTGAATATTGAGGGAAAAGGTGCATGCTGGTCTTTGCAGGTCCTTGGGTATTATCAATCATAGAATGATAGAGTAGAATGTTGTTCTGATTTATCACTCTTCTTCACAAGACAAAGCAAAAATCAGTGCCATTTTTGCCTTCACTGACTGGCTGGGCCAAGGTGAACTTGTTCTTGCTTTGCCGTGGCTTTACACAGACTTATTTAGAGTCTGGTCTGCATGGGACTTTTTGTTTTATCAACTGCTGTTCTTTTGCTATTTGCTCACTGAATATTCAAGAAAACGACAAGAAAACTGGGGTTGCCCCTGCTTAGTCTGTTGGTCACTTGTGTTGCTAGGTCAGGTGCCCAGAGCCAAGAGCT